TGAGTAAAAATATATTAACAACTTATACAAAATATTTACATATTTATCAATAAGTCAATGAGGTTCATTAAGGTTCTCCATAGGGTATAGAGCGTGATCCCATACAAAAAATCAAAAGTTTATAACTATCTATTCATAATAAGTCAAAACCATTATCTTCATTAACCCAGTCAAAAACTTGTAGATTTCTCTCCTTTTGAACTTCCCAAAAAATGGTGATTGATATAGGATCTGCATTTTCCTCTACCAAATAATGCCCTTTTACGCTCAAAGCTCATCTCTAATCGATCTCGTCATCACCCACTTCACGCCTAATAAATCAGATACCATAGTCTATAACTTGTACACCTTTGTGCACCCAAAAAAGTAAGATATTGCAAGTTTCCATAGGCCTTTCACAAAAAATAACATCCATTCACAACAAGTTTGCCCCATCTCATCAACTTATCAATGGTAAGAATGCTCTCTTTGTTGGCCTCCCAAGAAAAAGATCCTTTGAAAGGGACTTTCACCTTCCATATTTGTTCAAGAGAAAATCTGATGCCATAATCTTCCTACTTGGTCAAAATGCTTATAGAATGATTTGATCGGGAAAGAGTCATTCATAGTCAGACATCATATGGAGCTATCATTGCTACCTTCCAAGAACACCAAAGATAATGTACTGAGAAGTTTCTCATACTCATTGATCTCTCAGTCACTGAGGTTTCTCAATATAGTGATCTGCCACACTCTCTCTCCTCCACCAAGGTCTCAGAATGCATGACTAATTAGGATGTCTTTCTGTTGAGAAATGACAAAGATTTGGGGATATTGATCCCTTAGGGTTCCATCAACCAACCATGAATCGTGCCACAAGGTAACTCTATCACTCTTGCCAACTTTCCATCATGTGCACACATGAAACTTGTCATGACCACCCATTCCAATTTTACTCTATAACACTTCACCATGTGGTCTCGTCACGAATCTCGTGTACCACCCTCTCTCGACTATACCATATTTTGCTTCTATCACCCTTCTCCATAATGTTCATTTTTCATTCATAAACCTTCAGAGCCACTTGCCCCCTGTAGTGCTGCATTCATTCCAACAAGAGATCAGAAGCCCAACCCTCTATTGGAAAATGGTTTCTTGAGCTCATCCCAAGCAATCAAATGGTATCTTCTCCTGTCCTCCAAGCCTCCTGATAGGAATTTGTATTGAAATTTTTTTTTTAAAACTTTTGACCACTCTCATCGGCATTGTCAGGAAAGACATATAAATGGATAAATTACTCAGTATACTTTTCATAAGCTTGAGTCTTCCCCTTTGGATAAGAGAGTTCTCTTCCACCCCACAAATTTCTTCTTAAACCTTGTCACTACAGGATCCCAAGTCCCCATATCTTTAAAATATAGTGAAAGAAGATGTTATAGTTATTTACAGTTTACGACAATACTATTCCATCCTCATAATGAACCAACCAGACATTGTAATAATATTGTAATGGATTATTATTGGTTGTGAACCAAACATTGTAGTGTAATAACAATTCCATTACAATGTAATTCTATTCTCATTTAAGCATAATTCTTTTACAGTCTTAATCTATCCAGCAAAGCAAACAACTTGAGCATTGATCTTGGTTTCACATGTTATACATAAAATTGTAGGAAACAGACTTCTAGCTGTTGGCTGAGACTTGACTGATAAGAGGGTCTTTAGGATAGGTGCGTGGCAGAGATTCAAGAGTTACTGAAAAAATCGATATGCAAGATTATGGCTATAGCTTGTAAATTATTTTGTAACTTTTTGACAAGTGCTTTTGTTTTTTTGCTATCAGATAAGCAGCTGGCAGGTCCCCAACGAGGTTACGGATTTGAGAAAGAAGCAGGGTAATGAGATATTCAGAGAGCACTCGTTGTCTGTGCCAAATGTTGATCCAGTGACTGAAAAAGGATCTGCTTCGACAAGTTTGAGTACTCCTGCTATTAATACAGGTGGGCGTGATGCCATAGCTATTAGAACCTCAGGTCCACCTGGATCTTCGTCAGCATTGGATTTGTAAAGAAGAAGTTGCAGGACCCTGGAGCTCCTGCAACTTCCTTGCCTGCTCCAGTTTCATCAGTGGCAGCATCAGAAGTAAATGGCTCAAAAGTAGTTGAGCTCGCAAAAGGCTTGCAAAGTGAAAATAGCAAAGATAAGCTAAAAGATACAACAGGAGATGGTAACATGTCTGATTCTTCTTCAGACTCTGAGGATGCAGACAGTGGACCAACAAAAGAAGAGTGTATCATCCAATTTAAGGTATGTTGCTTCTGTTTCGTTTGGAAATCCTCAGTGGCTTTTATTCCATTAGTCTGTCTTGAATTTGGATAGGTTTATTTCGTATAAGCTGTTTATGTGTTTTTTGGGATAAAATAAGAAATAAGTAGTTATTCACTCTTTTAGCTAGAATTTAATCCCTTATTTACCACCTGTATATGTGATGGAAAAATTTGCCTACTTACATGATAAAATGTCCAAAATCTGTCAATAGAAGTACTCAATCCTCTAACTTTGGACGGAATATTGAACTCAAATTTATTCGCTTTGGACCCATTTCTTTCTTTCTTATTTTTTTTCAAGCTACTTTTGTAACTAAAAAATAATCAAAGTAAATCAATAAAAATAAATCATAAAACATAATCATCCATTTTTTTTGAAATAAAAAAAAAACATAATCATCCATCAAATCTATGATTAATGAAATTATTTTTGATTGAAGAACGAACATAGTTTGATCCAGTTCGGTTCAGTTTTTTCAGTTTAGAGGGAGTTATAAACACAATACGGAAAGGTTTGGTGTGGATTGTTTTTTATGCGGAAGAGAATTTACAAGAGAAGAGGATAAGATATTCTCCAACCAAAAAAAGGAGACCAAAAGTACAAGGAAGAAAGTAGGAAGCCTTAAGAGAAAATAGAGATCCAATCGCTTTGCCTAGTACATAAAGGTATTTCCTTAGTGATTGGCTTTAGCTTGACATGGAAGAAGGGGGATCATCCTATCCTAGACCATATGATCTGGTTGAAAGCTAATGCTTAAAAATCCTTTTCCTTCAAACCAAATTACTCATGTTTGCCAAAATGAGCCCTCTTCATCTTATGCTCTTTTGCCTTTCCCATGTCCGATTTTTTTTTTTCTTTTTTTTTTTAGATAAAAGAGATGTATATTAATAGAAAGATCCCAAGGGGAGCCGCCTATGTACAAAATAAATTTACAAGTCAATGAGCATGTCTACAATTGCTCCCAAATCATCAAGAGTATGCAAGTTATGTCCCAAAAAGATGGAGGCAAAATAATGCAGCTATCTATTTTTAATATTTACTAAGGAGTCTTCCCTACCCTCAAATGCTCTATTGCTCCTTTCCCTCCAAAGAATCCAGAAAATGGATAATGGAATAAGTCGTGCTGCAGGAGAATTTGGAGAAAGGCCCTCCCAAGCCAAAAGTTCATTACTGATAGAACCCGCCACCACCCAATTAATACCCATTAGGCTGTAGACAAGTGACCAAAGTTTGACAGAGAAGGGGCAGAGTAAGATGTGGTTACAGCTTTCGGCATCAATTTTGCATAGGAAACATCTATTAACTAGGACTCTACCCCTTTTCATCAGATTATCAATTGTCAAGATACGTTCTTTAGCAACTTCCCGAGCAAAGAAGGCGATTCTGGGGAGGAATTTGCTTTCCATCTAGATTTGAAGGGGAACACACCATCATCTAGGTTACTAGCAGAGTTGAGGTGCTTGTAAAGAGAACTAACAGTGAACCTGCCATTTTTTTCAGCTTCCAAATAAGAGTGTCACTCTTGTCAAGTAAATTTACACCAGTCATCAATTGTAGGAAGCAGACGTATTCAGATAGCTCCCAGTCGTTAAGATTTCTGTCAACAGCCACTACACAGTTACCTGCGGAATAGAAAGCATCAGCAACCAGCAAATCCTTGTTGTGGGTAATAGTAAAGATATTAGGGAATTTGATTTTCAGTGAGACATCGCCGCACCAATTGTCATGCCAGAATTTTATTTTGTCCTCTCTCCCAACCTCCCAACGAACATTGCCACTCAAGACTTCAAGCATATTCATAATATTTTTCCATGCACTTGTACCATGTGGTCTACTGGGTAAATATGTATGGTCAAGGCCTCTATTCATCCATTTAATCTTAATAATTTTCTTCCACATGTTGTCTTCCTCACTCAAAAAACGCCATAAGCATTTGCCATGAAATGCTTTGTTCATAGTGGTGATGGATCTAATTCCGAGCCTGCCTATCCTCATTGAACGTTTAACCTCATCCCATTTAACAAGATGGTAAGTTTTTTGTATTATCCGAGTCTCCCCAAAGAAATCTGTTCTGAATCGACTCAATCTGTTTAGCATCCTGAATCGGGATGGTGAGTACGGAAAGATAATAAATAGAGATAAAAATCTTCGAGTGAGGGGGATCTACTCACTCAACCTTCAACAAAGAAAGCAATTTACTTCATAATTTCCATACCTAATAGAGGAAACATGTCACAGTTACTCTTTGAAATACAAAAACACATAAAAAGAGCTTGGAAATCCTTGAAAACTGAATTTCCATGAGCTTCTATGATTGATGGGAACTTAACAAATACTGGATCTTGAGAAGAACTAGCATGTGGAGGTGATAGACTATGTCAAAGTAAGCCATCCAAAGTCTCAATGATGTCTCTAATGATTCGTTCTCATTGTCAATACCAACCAATCACTGTTATTCAAATTAATTTGTAACCTCAAGCACCTATAAAAGGGAGATGGTATTGGGAGAGAAATTCTTATCCTGAGGCATAAAGATGATTATATCATTTGCAAATTGTAAGTGGGAGACCTCCACAACATCCTTCCCCACAAGCAACCATGCAGAAACCGGTACCAATATCCCTAGAGAGCATATGAGTTAAAATGCCAACCACTACTATAAACAAGAATGTGGATACAAGATCTCTATTAGAATCTTTTTTGACCTCTAAACCGTGTTTAATACTCGTAAAAAAATTTCTCATCTGTTCTCTCTATTTATCTTTGAAACCTTTTTTTATCCATAACTGCATCCAATAAATTCTAGCTAACCCTATCATATGCTTTCATTATTTAACTTTTGAATTATATTAGATTGGAAAAAAATAAACAACTCAACCTATTGCCCTATGGTTAAATAGATTTTGTACTGGCATTACACTCAACCTTCTGTAATTAGTGTAAGACCTTATGTATGTCTTTAAAACTTATCCTCTCATCTATGGAGAATGTCTAGGTTTTTAGGTTTTTTATATTTTGTTTGATTTTCTTCAATAATCTTTTTGTTGCATCATATGTGGAGGGTGCCCCCTTGCTACTTCACAATATTTCTTTTCCGTCTCAAAATGCTGTCGTTAATTACAATCAAATAAGGGAATGTAAAACAATTAATAATGACCTATCCAGTGTTTCTAAGTCTTGAACATATCAATTATTTCTTCAATATAATTTCCCTTGTTTTTTTAGAGGGAAAATGAATTTCTATTTCTTAAATAACCTAAATAATACGAGGATATGTAAAATACCATGGCTATGTTTGGTAAACTAGGTTGCATAGGTTATGATGTGCATAAGGCTCCTTACCGTACTTATCCATGTTTGGAAGTAAATAGGTATGCACCCACTATAGGGTGATAGTGCTATTCATTCCATGAGGGGTAAATAAACACTAATTGAATGGGTAGTGCTTTTGAAATTCAAATGACCCTTATATTTCTTTTTTCTTTTATATCCCTTTAGAGATACTCTACAAGTGCTAGCTCCACCACCGTTGCCATTATGGACCCATGCCACCTACTCTACTGTTACCTCT